TTTGATGCTAAATGTTTCACTGAGTACATAATGCTAAATTAAAGCATCAGGGAAATTTGAACTATGTTTAAATGATCTGCTTTATAAATCAATTTTCAAGAAGGCATTGTGGATACTACCTATGTTAGCAAATAGAGGGTCTTCAAAAAGATCTAACAGGAAGTTTATGGGCTAGAATGAGGCATGCCTATAAAAGTTCTAGGTACATAAGTATTCAGTAAGTATCTACTGATTTGATCACTGATTACTGGTACTTTGCGTCTTTTCTTGAACATACGTGGATTCTGATTATAATTCATTACTGACAAAAAAACTGGGAAACATATGCACAAATTAATCATGCCAGTAATTTTAAAAAGGAGTTTTCATTATTATAAATCTATATAATTTCAATATGACCAGATTAAAAAATAACTGTTTTTATAATTATATCAATTACCTCTCATTTATAAATGATTCTAATTATATAAATAAGGTCTATATAAAATATGTTTTATAAATATATAAATACAAATGTAAAAGGGGAAAATACAGAAAACATAAAAGAGAAATAATAATTCCTCCCTTATTAACATTTTAGTGTATCTGTTCCGGTTATTTATCTGCATATATTTTAACCTTGTCAGAATCAGTCTTAAGGTTAGAGCTGAATACTTCACAGGCAATTTAATATTCTACTACACATCATTTGTAATAAATGCTTAGGATTTCCTATTGTTGGCACATTTTCAACATTTTATTATTTCCAGATCCATTAGAAATAATGCTGTAATGAACATTTTTTTTACATAAATCTTTGCCTATACTTCTGGTTATAACTTGAGATATATTCCTAGGGGTTTGTTTTCTAGGTCAAAGAATATAAAAGTGTTTAAGGCTCTTGAAATATATTACCAAATTGTTTTCCAGAATGGCCCTGCCTGCTTATGCTTCACAACAGTGTTCAGAGAAGCCCTAATCTCAAATCCCTGCCAAGATTAAATATAATTTTATGTTTCGTATTTACTAGCATGATATGGGAAAACATTCCCTCATTTTACTTTAGCTTGCATTTTTAACAGAGCAAGATGAAAGAAAAAGAGAGAGAGAGAAGAAAGAGAAAGAAGAAGGGAGGGAGGGAAGGAGAGAGGAGGAGGGAGGGAGGGAGGAAAGGAAAGGAAAGAAAGGGAAAGGAAGGAGAAAATAAGGAAGAGAGAAAGAAGGAAAAGAAAGAAAGTGAGAGAGAGAAAGAGGGAGGAAGGAAGGGAGGGAAGGAGGGAGGGAAGGAGGGAGGGAGGGAAGGAGAAAGTGAGGAAGAAACAGAGAGAGAGACACAAAGAAAAGAAAGGAGAGAAGGAAAAAAGCGAGAGAGGAAGGAAGGAAGGAAGGAGGGAGGGAGGGAGGGAAAGAGAAAGAAAGAAAGAAGAAAGAAAAAGAGAGAGGAAAAAGAACGAAAGAAAGAGAAAGAGAAAGAAAGAAAAGAAAAAGAAAGAAAGAAAGAGAAAGAGAATTGTTTATATTACTCAAAACTGGAACACTGGATTTTTAAGGATTGAGAAGCATTGCTGCAGAGTTGGGAAATCATGATTGCCTTGGAATCTGGGGTTCCGGACTTTACTGTCTTCAAGTTTTCTTGACACTCACCATCTCCATTGCCAGATAATTCACTACTCTCACAACAGGGCCTGGCTCTCAGACCCACCTACGGCTTTGCACTTTGAAGTGAGCATCAGCCATCCACCCTGGTGTTCTGCTAGGCGTCCTAGGAAAATGAACACAAGACTGATTCTTCTCTCACCCAACTTCAACATGCAATTTACCATTTCCAATGTAGCAAGAGGGGGATTGCTGATGAGGAATGAAGACTTTCTCAGGGTCACAAGCACATTTGCAGGCCCTACTGACCGGCCATCCCCCGGAGGAGTAGTTTCTGAGAAGCTTTAATTATAAGCACAGAAGCTGGGTGGAGGTTCTGCAGGGTGTCCCAACAAAGACAATGGCTTTATTAACTACTGCTGTCCAACTGCACCCAACTAACTATGCATGTTTTCACTCCAAAAGGTCTTGGGCAACCAAAAGCAAATGATGGGATGGTCTCACGAAAATATTTATAGTCCTAACGATACCCAGACTTATAAACCACTTGCCTCAGGCACAGAGGCCAAGAACAGTTTTCAGTTTTCCATAAAAATTGATGCTCAAATTTATTATTTCACTTACTCCCTCCCCTTGCTCAATTTTTTTTCTATGTATGTATTTAGTACTTGTTTTAAAAAATATTATAGGACCATAGATATTTATTTTTGAGCATTAAGTAAAAATGTGGTCTTTGCACAGAGTTAATTGACAAGAAGCTACTATAAAACTTAGACCTCCGGGACACTCACACCCTACCAAACCCCAGAAGTAAATACAGCTAAAAAATGTCTGCCTTCATTCGGCCTGGCTGGACTTCTGGTTCTCACTCAGTTCTCTTTCATGTTTCTGTTCTCGCAGGACATGGTATGTCAATTACTCAGGCCTCAACTATTGCTAATAGTCAAAACTGGAGATAATTCAATGGCCACATCATTGGCACGGGTTAGCTAGTGTCTTAGTTCATTAATGGAGGGAATATATAAAAAGCCTCAGAAGAGAGGCCGTTTGGGAAAGAAAGGCAAGAAGAAAGGGGGTAGGGAGAAGGAGAGGCTCAGGATAAGGTCTGAGAATGCTCTATTTCATCTTATGTGCTTGAAAAGGAACCAGACTTTAGAAAGGATAGAGAATCCTTCCTTCTTCACCTATTTTGAAGGAGAGCAGTGTCTAAATGCTATCAGAGGTTCTGCTCCTGTTTCTAAGGGGGAAGCTCAACCATCTGCAGTTGCCTTGATGGGACACAGAACCAGGGATACCTGGGGGTACTCAGATCACTTCTCAGACCTTGTGATCAGTCTCTCCTTCTTCTCCCCAGCCCCTTTCTCCTTCCCTTTCTTTCCCAGACAGGCTCTCTTCTCTTCTTAGGCATTTTTTTTTTTTTTTTTTTGAGACAGAGTCTCACTCTTGTTGCTAAGGCTGGAGTGCAATGGCATGATCTCGGCTCACTGCAACCTCTGCCTCCCGGGTTCAAGTGATTCTCCTGCCTCAGCCTCCCAAGTAGCTAAGATTACAGGCATGAACCATTGCACTCAGCCAATTTTTGTATTTTTAGCAGAGATGGGTTTTCTCCATATTGATCAGGTTGGTCTCGAACTCTCAACCTCAGGTGATCTGCCCGTCTTGGCCTCCCAAAGTGCTGGGATTACAGGCATGAACCACCACGCCTGGTCTGTATGTTCTAGCCTATACTTTTATCATTATTTTAGAGTATACTCCTTTTACTAACAACAACAACAACAACAAAAAGTTAACCATAACATTTAACCAAAAGATTTTTAAAGTAAAAAATTTAAAAATCTCAAATATAAAAAAACGCTTATGGAATAAGGATATAAGGGAAGAATATTTTTGTACAGCTGTAAAATGTGTTTGTGTTTTAAGCTAAGTGTTATTACAAAAGAGTCAAGATGTTAAAAAAAAATTTAAAAGTATCTAAGGTGAAAAAGATATAGTAAGCTAATGCTAATATTATATTAAAGAAAAAATCGGGACCATCCTGGCCAACATGGTGAAATCCCATCTCTACTAAAAATACAAAAATTAGCTAGGCATGGTGGCACGTGCCTACAGTCCCAATTCCTAGGGAGGCTAAGGCAGGAGAATCGTTTGAACCCAGGAGACGGAGGTTGCAGTGAGCCAAGATTATGCCACTACACTCCAGCCTGGCAACAGAGTGAGACTCTGTCTAAATATATATATAAAATAAATTTAGTGTAGCTGAGGTCTACAGTGGTTATAAAATCTACAGCAGTGTATAGGAATGTCCTAGGCCTTCAAATGCACTCACCACTCCCTCAACTGACTCACCCAGAACAACTTCCAGTCCTGCAAGCTCCATTGGTGCTAAGTGCCCTCTACAGGTGTATCACTTTTAATCTATGTACCTTTTCTATGTTTAGATACATAAGGTATATCACTTTTTAACTATAAAATATACCTTTTCTATGTTTAATACATAAATACTTATCAGTTGTTAAGTACATAAGGTGTATCACTTTTTATCTATTAAACATACCTTTTCTATGTTTAATACATAAATACTTATCAGTTGTTAACAATTGTTTACAGTACTTAGTACAGTAACATGTTGTACAGGTTTTTTATCTAAGAGACAATAGACCAGGCATCCCCAAACTTTCTACACAGGGGGCCAGTTCACTGTCCCTCAGACCATTGGAGGGCCGCCACATACTGTGCTCCTCTCACTGACCACCAATGAAAGAGGTGCCCCTTCCTGAAGTGCGGTGGGTGGGGGGGGGCGGATAAATGGCCTCAGGGGGCCGCAAGGGGCCCGCGGGCCATAGTTTGGGGACGCCTGCAACAGACCATACCATATAGCCTAGGTGTGTAGTAGGCCACACCATCTAGGTTTGTGTAAGTACACTTTACAGTATCAGCACAAAGGTGATATTGGCTGGGTGTGGTGCCTTAGGCCAGGCATGGTGGCTCACGCCTGTAATCCCAGCAGTTTGGGAGGCCGAGTGGGCAGATCATTGGGTCAAGAGATCAAGACTATACTGGTCAAGATGGTGACACCCCATATCTACTAAAAATACAAAAATTAGCCGGACATGGTGGCACATGCCTATAATCCCAGCTCCTTGGGAGGCTGAGGCAGAAGAATTGCTTGAACCCAGGAGGCAGAGGTTGTAGTGAGTCGAGATCACGCCACTGCACTCCAGCCTGGAGACAGGGTGAAAATAAATAAATAAATCACCTAATGACGCATTTCTCAGAGCATAGCCCCATCATTAAATGATGCATGACTGTAGGAGGAAAAATTAGTTCTGCCAATGAGAATATGGATGATCAAAGCAAATATGATTCAAAAGAGAAAGCATTTACGTAAAATAATATTGATTAAATTCTTAAAAATTTTCTTGTAGTTTTGCTGATGACTGGAGTACATTCAAACAAAGAAACAGCAAAGAAGACTAAAAGGCCCAAGTTCAGTAAGTAAAATCACAATTTCTTGCTGGCATAAGGCTTGTTTCTCCCACATGGAGGGTTATTATACTTGTTTCAGATAATTTCTGTTTTGGTTTGGTTTTTGTCTCTATCTCAATTATTTCCACTTAGACTAATTAGTGATACTTATTAGTGATAAGTGTCTTATCCTGACCACATTCCAAAAAGTGTTCGAGACAGGAGTCCTGAGTCCTGACTTTAGGGTAAAAGATATGTAGTTCCCCTGCACTAGAAAAACTCAAAATGCACATACAAAGACCAGGCAACCCCAAGTCTCTATGACTAACTGGAGTAAGTTAGCCCTGACACTGAAATGATGCCTCAATTCCCCACACCAGAAAATTTAGTTTGGCTAATGCAAAGGTCTAGCAAACCTACCCACCTACCAACAGGCTCTGGGATCAGAAGGCAAATCTCACAAAAAAGCCTATGTGATTTTACGCCCCATCAATGGAAGGAGAAAAAAAAATTTCATTTTTGAGTGGAGTATCAGTTAAAATTAGATGGCAGAAAATCTGGAATAAGGCCAGCAGCACTGGTTCACTCCTGTAATCCCAGCACTTAGAGAGGCCTAGGTGGGCGGATCACTTAAAATCAGGAGTTTGACACCAACCTTACCAACATGGGGAAACCCTGTCTCTATTAAAAATTCAAAAATTACCTGGGCATGGTGGTACGTGCCTATAATCCCAGCTACTAAGGAGGCTGAGGCACAAGAATCACTTGCACCTGGGAGACAGAGCTTCCACTGAACCCAGATCATACCACTGAACTCCAACCTGAGCCACAGAGTGAGACTGTGTCTCAGAAAAAGAAAAAAAGAAAGAAAAGAAAATCTGAAATAATAGATGCTTACTTAAGACTGCAGTTTCTCTCTCTGGGTCTTAGCTTTTATGGAAGTTCTAGTCTCCAGGGACCCAGACTTCTGTCTTCTAATTCTGCCAATTCGTTGCCCACAATGGCTGCCCAAGCTCCATTTATCATGTACACATTCCAGTCAGTAGGAAGGGATGAAGAAGGGCATGTAATAGTGATGCAGGCTTTTTCCTCTCAGTCACTTTGCAAGCCAGGCACCCCCTAGCCGGTGGGTGATGCCTCACCTCTGCCTTGCTTGGCCATACTGCTATGCCCCAGCCCATCAGTGTTATGGCTTGTACCTGTGTTCAGCAGCTCCTGAGCTCTTGTACCATACCCAAGAAGAATGAGGATAAGCTGGACATTGAAGGATAAGGAGGGCTAAGACGAATTTTATTGAGTGAGGGAACAGCTCTCAGCAGAGAGGGGATATGAGGGGTGGTTCCCCTACCAGAAGGCGTGAAAGTCCCTCATATGGCTGGGTCTGGGGACTTTTGTGGATTCAGAATGAGGAGTGGATGCTGATCGGTTTGTGAGTATGCAAAAAAGATTAAAGTGAAGATGCCACTCAAAGGTGGGCAGGACAGTGTACAAAACCAAATAGGGAAAGGGTAGGTGTATGTAAAATAAGTGAAGGGTAGGGATCCATCAGAGGAAAGCACACCAAATGGAAGACAGGTTCTCAATCCAGTCTGAGGATTTAACTTGTAGCTTGGCTTTCAGGCTTTTAACTGTCTTCGGCTTGGAGATGGGGTTTCACCAGGGACCTGTCCGTATCTGCCTAGGCATTTGGCTGCTTCCAAATAGCTCTTCAAATACTGCTCTCAATAGCTCCCTTTAAAGGTACATCCAAAAACTTCAATATAACCCCTCTCTTTAAGTACTACTGGCCAACAGTAAGGGAGAGTGGGAAATGTCTTGATTTTAAACATCCACATCCATTGCTAAAAGTAAGGGATATTATTACTAGGAAAAAAGAGAAGAATGTACATTGGGAAATAACTCACAGAAGGAGACACAGATGGAAAACTCACACTCAAATAAATAAGCACACTGGGATATCTTAATTCAAATTTGTAGGCTTGATGAAGGCTTAAATTAAAGCGTGTTTATAAGGAACCATAAAAAAAGGCTTTAGATATAGTCAATGTTCTGTGCTCTCCACAACTGAAACTTTCTTTATAGGCATTAAATTTAGGTGCCTTGAAATCAGCCACATTAATCATTTGAAATAAAAGAAAGATTTGCTTCACACAGCCTCCTTTTTTCTTCTGCTCTTTTAAGCCTTCCATGTGAGATTTCCTGTTGAAATGAGACCTAAAGGGCAACCATCCACAGCCTGCTAGTCTGAAATACTAAAAAGGAATCAGTTGTTTATTTATTTCTGTCAGGACCAAGAGCCAAGAGGATGGGCCCTGGGGCAGATGTGTGTTCCAAACAATGATTAGGTTAATATGGAGACAAATGCACGCCCAAGTGTGAATTCCTTTGGGCTGTTTCCAGTATCTTCATTAACTCATATACAAAAATCATAAAAGGTTCCATGATTACCATGACAACAGTTTGCAGTGACTATGAAAGTCTGTGCTAAATGACCCATGGGCAAACCTCTTTGAGAGATCTCAAATGGATTGAATTTCTGATATGCTAAATTCTAGCCTTATTCTCAACATTTCCCTAGTGATACAGCACATTGGAATCAATAAATGCACAAGGTCTCTTCTCTAATTAGGAACTCTGGCACAATTATTAAATAGGGAAAAGAAAGATACAATCAAGGTAATTGGATATTCCCAAACCAAGGAGATATCTGATTCTTGACCTCCAGAGTATTCTCAAATCATAGTCTATAGCTTGAGGCCAAAGTAATTTTCTTTTTCTTTTTTTTTTTTTTTTTCCTGTTAAACATTGTCGGTCTGCTGCTGGGGGAAGTGACTGATGGCAAAGAAGGCACATTATTCATACATTTGATAAGTATTTATTGGGTGCTAGCCAAGTACCAGGCACTGTGTTAGACACCCATAAACAACAGCAATCCAGACTCAATCTATGCTCTCACAGAGCTCATTATCTAGGATGGACAAAGGGCAAGTCAACAGGCGATGACAGTGTCTTATGTAAGTGCTAGGACAAGAGGAGCTAAAGGTACTCCAAGAATAAGGAAAAGAAGTTGTGTATCTAAGAGGGCTTCCTGGAGGAAATGATACACACTGATTCTGAAGGCTAAATAGGGATTGGCCAGGCAAACATGAGGAGAAAAGAGTATTATAAGCCGAGAGAACACACCATGCCCAAGGCCTTAAGAGTAGAACGAGCTAAAAAGAAGTTCAACATACAGAAATAGAGAGTAGAAGGTGAATGTGTTAAAAAGATGAAAAGCAAGCAGACACCAGATGGTAAAGAGCTTTACTGCCATGTTCAGGCAATCTGGACTTCATCGAGAGGGCAATGGAAAGTATCTTCATATGGGTTATTTTGGTTGCAATTAGCAGAAATCCAAGGCCAATCTGCTGAAGCAAAATGGGGGATTTGGGCAGGACCTGGTGTAGCTCACAGAACCCAAGGCAGGAAATGCAGCTGCAACTTCCTCGGGTTGGACCGCAGATGGAAAGGCTTCAGCAACCAGCGCCCCTGCTTCTCTCTGTGCATCGGCCCTCCCTCCCCCTCTAATCCCCATCCTTGTCTCTCAGTCGTGGTCCCAAATTCCTGAGAGAGAGGATCTAATTGCATCAGGCTAGGCTGGCAGGGGGTCCACCCCTATAAAAGAAGCATGGTCCTCAGAGAATAGTAAAGTGTTAAGGAAGGTGGTGTTAGGGAAATGAAACAATCCTGCCAACATGAACAACTCCTTTGTAGAAACATTTGAAGATACGAAGACGAAAGAGAGAGAACACAATTTGTGAGTGAGCATTACAGATTTACATGCATGTATAGAGTATGAAAGTGTGTACAAAGTCTGGACAGAATTTCACACAAGTTTATATAGTAAGTTGGAAGACAGACAATTACAATGTCTCTTGCTGCTCTGGAGGTGAGTACTTGCAGATTCTTACAGAAGGCCAGAGCCGTCGCACTGCAAAATCAAAAGGCTGGCCTCAGGTCTTTCGTCTTTAAGAAAACATCCTAAGAGGACAGGGTGGTGGGGGGCAGTGGGCTTCTCTCCTCTTCACTAAACAAAGCTTGATCATCTAACCGTTAGCATTGACACCTCAAAAATATCTTACAGGATGCTACTGCAGTTTTAAACAGAAGGTGAAATGATAAAAGCAGGGCTTTAAACAGATCACTTTAGCTTTAATGTGAGATTGAACTAGGTCAGTGGTCCTCAATGTGTGGCTCCTGGACGGGCAGCATCAGCATCACCCAGGACCTTTTCTCTCAAGCAGCCCAGACTTCCTGAGTCAGAAACTGTAGGGGTGGGCCCGGCAATCTGTGCTTTAACCAGCTCTCCAGGTGATTCTGACGACGTGTAAAATATGATAACCAGCAGACTAGAGAGAGAACCAAGATGAGGGCTTCTTGCAGATATGAATGTGAAATCATTTACGTAGGTTCCCTTTACTGCCCTCCAACCTCTCTTTTAGAAGCCCTCGGTTTTCACCAGTGTTTTTTCAAGACTCACAATCTTCACAACCCAGAAGTTTTAAGTCAAATAACAAGGAGAAGGTAATTTGGTATGTTGGTCGGTGAGTAATTTCCTGACCCCTCCTAGACAGGGGGCGCCGTCCTGGAGTCTTGAGGATCTAGTGCCTGAGGCACAGTGACACTAGTTGGCAGGGCCGGATTTGAAACTCAGGGCTGGGGGAGGTTCAACCCCTGATGTTTCCCCAGTGGCCTCCTCTCAAGCTGGGTGGGACTAAAGAAAGAATGAGGTGTCTGTTGCCTGGGAGTGGATGAGGGTTGCATAATCAAAGCCTGGCCAAATAGAAAGTAGAAGACATACAGGAAAAATGGGAGAAGGAGAAGCCTAACTGTCTTCCTTGGGCTTGGCTTGAAAACGTCTGCCATTCTAGCATGCCTATTCTCCTACTCATAAGGTTCCCGCTGATTTTGGTAGTTATCTCTTTCTCTCCTCTTTACTTTCCTTTCTTGCTCACTTCTTTGTCTTTCCATCCCCTTTTCCTTCTTT